ACTCTCACGATGACATTTAAATCCCTCTCCTGGTCTAGGGACCCTCTCCCAATCAGGACTCCGCCCATTTCCGTACTGTCATTCAAACCACTCTTCTAGCTCAACAGGGCCCTGGTCCCAGTGGTTTCCAGAACATTCTACAGGCCTTCCGGGCCTGGACACTTCAGGTGATGCTGATGCCTTGAGTGCTCACTCTGCAGCTGCCTCCTTCTCATCCTTCACCTCTCAGCTTAATTGTCACCACCACAGACAGGCCTCCCCTGACACCAGTTAGTCTCCATCTATGGTGCCACAAATGTCACTTTACAACACTTTTTCAATAACCTGCTCACTGCTTTCTCCCGCTACCAAGTCCACAAGGACAGAGCAATATCTGGCATTCAGGAGCCACTCAATCAATACACGTTGATCAAATAAACCTTGATTAAATATAAGAAAGTGAGAGAATATGTGATTCAGACTGGAAGTTCTAAGGCAGCACAGGCAAAGGAGCATGGAAGGGCCGAGTCATCATGGAGGAATCAGGGCTTGGGTACAGGAAGGAGCAAGGCTGGTGGCCTGGTGCAACATGTGTGCATACCCCCTCTCCTCACGCACCTCTGTGGGGCAGACAGTGGAAGAGCCAAAGCACACCTGTTTGTAGGTGGCTCACAAAAGAATTACAGTAAAAAAGAGTAGTGGGGTGTGTGTCTGTGTGTGTGTGTGTGTGTGTGTCTGTGTGTGTGTGTGTGTGTGTGTGTGTGTGTGTGTATGCGCACGCGCGCGCATTGGAAGTGGCACCAAGGTCATAAAGGTCTAGGAAATGAGACCTCAGAGATTCAGTCCAAGCCTCTCATTTTGTGGCCACGGTTATTATGCCCTCTAGAGTCAATCTCTAACTCTGTCTTGACGCCATCACCCTGTTCAGTAGCACCTGCTATTGGTCAAATCAAGTCCTCTACAATCCAGGCCTCCACTACTGCTGCCTGATGCTCTCTTGGTTTTGGTTTCTGCCTTTTCCAAGCCACCTTGAATCCTTCTCCCATCCCTAAGTATGTGTTCTTTTTTCTGCACTTGAGGCATATTTCTGATATGGTTTTCTTTACTTCCTGCTTCCTCCCTCCTCCCATCGTTCACTCAAACACATGCGGCTCACTTCTCTGTGCTGTCGACACTGAATCTGGCTGAATGGATGGATGGGTGGAGATGAAAGGAGAGAACCATGGATCCAAGCTTGTTGTCTGTGGTCTCCTTTAGTGGAATGAGGATGACAGGGGAAGGGCAAGGAAGAGTTCCCTTTAAGCATATGAACCTCGGGTGACTATGAGACCAGACTGCCTAGAGCTGAGCAGACAATTCCAAGAGTGGAAATATGGAAATATGAGTGGAATTTAAGCCATGGGAGTGGTAGGTTTACTGGGTCATTTTCCCAGGTCTGTTGTAACAAGGATCACAAAATGGGTGTCTTAAAGCAACAGATATTTATTGGCTAGAAGACCAAAGTCAAGGTGTCAAGAGATCCATGCTCCTTCTGAAGGTTCTAGGAGAGGATCCTTCCCGGCCTCTTCCAGCTGCTTCTGGCTACAGGCGTCCCTCAGCTATGGCAGCGAAATTCCAGTCTCAGCCTCTGTCTCCAGGTGGCTACATTGCTGCTGTGGCTGTCCAAATCCCCTTCTTATAAAGACATCAGTCATATTGCTAGGGCCCCCCAACTCTGGCCTCATCTTAACTAATGACATATGCCACAACCGCAATTCCCAAGTGGGGTCACTTTCTGACGCCCCAGGAGTAAGACTTCACTGTATCTTTTTGAGGGACACAATACAACTCATGACAGTTGCCTAGGGCAAGAATGGAAAGAGAGAGAGAAGAGCAGGGGGCTGGCACGTTGCCAGCATGTAGCTGTTGGGAGAGACAGGCCAGCAAAGGAAATAGGCCACAAACAGACAAGCAGAAAGGACAGATACCGGGGAGTGTGGGCCTGGAAAACCATGAATCAGTGTTGCAGAATGGGAGGGGTGGTCAAGCTGTGTAAAAGAAAGGTGGCTTGGGTCACCTGAGTTGAGAAGTTGACCAGTGGATGTGTCAACACAGAAGCCATGCTGGTCTTGCCAAGGCAGCACTTAAGCAGAGCAGCGTCTGAGTTCTGTCTCCCATTAGGGACAGGTGAGAGCTCGTGTGCAGGGAAGGGGGATGGAAGGAGGGGATTCCTAGTCAGAGGGACCAGACCCAGGGGAACAGGTGGGGCAATACTTCAGGAGATGAAGGGATTAGGCCAAGGTTTGGGTTTGGGGTTTTGCTTATTTTGGGGGTTTTGGTGAGTTGATTTTGTTTGTTTTGTTCTTGCATTCTTTGTTTTCTAGAATGGGATTTGTTAGGGTACATTGTGTGCTTGTGTTGGGTATTATTTTTATATCTGTGTGTTTACATTCTGCATGTTTTGTATCCCACTTTGGTTGTCTCACACTTTAGTGTTGCTGTCCCTGCCCGGAAGATCCTTGGTGGACAGGATGCGTTCTTGTTTCTTTTGTCTCAAAACCATCTAGCCTAGTGCTTAAGCTTTTGTTCCTTACGGCCAGAGAAAGAAAAATATCCTGCATACGTACATATGGTACCATGAATGGAGGTCATCTCCTTTTCTTGGTGGACTAAGAGCAATTTTCACAGACCCTCTCCATGTAATGTAGGTTGTCAAAACCTATGTCTGCTGTTTCTTGTTAGACAACATCACCAGAGTACCTGTGTGACAGTTTCAGTTGTTGGATTTGGTATCTGCTGGGCACAGCACCAAGGACCAGAAGCTGGAATGAGAGGTGTCCACGGGTTGGAAACAGACTGCACGGAGACCACAAGTCAGTTGACCAACTTAACAGGAAGGGCAGGCCCGTGGTTAGGTACAGGGAAGACCCCAGGGGACCAGAGCAGCCTCTTCCTAAGACAGCGCCCCAAGACTGGAACAGCACCAGGGCCAGCTCCTCCCATGAAGAGGCCTAGTTCGTGTGTGCGCAGAGGCAGGGAGGCAGAAAGAAAAGCAGATTCTGACCCTACATTTTCTCTGTCATGTTCTTTTCAGATATTTCTTTCTTGTCTAAGTAAGGTGGGGTTTTTAAAATAAACTAAACCCATCTCTAGAGGCCCTGAGGAGGCAATCTGGTGATAATCTCATCAGTTACATGCTATAAATGAACCTGCAAGCCCTATTGTGGGGGTCACATGCAACAAGAGGATACAGTAGGGGGATATCACGGACCAACCACAGGCATCCTTGGCTCTTGGAAGCTAGGGGTGAGAGGAGCCTCCGTGGCACACATGCAGTCTGCAACTGGACTTAGGAAACTAAGGCTCTGGAGGGGGAGGGGCCAGAGACAAAGTGACAGGGACAATGGAAGACCCATGAAATAGCACCAAGGCAACCAGCACCATGCCCCCAGCAGTGATAGCTTTCCATCACCGTGATAAAATGCCTGAGATAATGGACTTATAAAAGAAAAGGTTTACTTTGGCTCACGGTTTTGAAGGTTCCAGACCATGATCTGCTGTTTGAGGTCTGTGATGAGGAAACCCATCATGACAGGAGCACATGGCAGAGTAAAACATCATGAGTCAGGGAGGAAAACAAGGGCTCCCGTGAACCACTCACTAGGCTTCACTTCCTAAAGGTTCCACCACCTCCCTCCCAATAGCACCACCCTGGGGACCACCAAGCCTTGGACAGTCTACATCAGAACCATAGTGTCCCCCTCACAGCCCAGACCGATCCCAGTGGCACTGCAGAAGTACCCAGACATCTGAAAAGTCAAAACTTTATAACTTCATAACATTGGAGTTTTATTTCTTTTTAATACTATTTTATATTGAAAAGAGATGAGTGATGAGAGCAAATGTAAAGAAGAGAGGCTGCCTTTTGAGCAGAGAAAATTCAGCTAGAAGAGGGAAGAGGAAGGTCGGGCAGAGGCTGATGGGAGGCAGTTCCCACAGTGCCCTTCCTTCTCTTCCTGCCACCAGGTGACCTGGGCAGAGGAAAGCCTCCTGGCCCTTGACTCCTACTCCTGCTGCTGAGATGACAGCAGAGCAGAAGTCGGAAAGCATAAATTGGGCAATGAATTTGTTACCAGCACAGTGCCTTGAGCCAGGATGTAAATGACATCAAGAAATATCAGCTATGTTCATATCGCAAACTTTGAGCCTGGTTTTCTCCAAAAACATATCCCTACCTACCTGGTCATGACTGATGCTTAGAAAAGAACATGGACTCTTGTGGCTTCTGATTTTAATTACCAGTGACACACACGGTTTTCTCTTTAAGTAAGATCTCCAGCATGTGGCATTGTCATGTGCAGGAACATTAGCTCTTACTGTCAGGAAAGGGCTGTTTGTCCAGTTGATAATGGAAGTGCGCTTGTCTCTCAGATGAAGTGTTCATGAGCAGGGTTCTACAGTTGTAACATTAGAGAACTTTTATAGAGATTAACTTTCAGAAACAAATGAAAAACAGTATCACTTTTCCTTTGGGAAAGGGTAGGTAGTGCGAATGCCTAAGGATCATTGGCACCAGTGGATATTGGACTTAGTTCCATCATTTTAATTGGAGATCGCTTATTTTATGTATTTCTGAAAGTGGAATATCTGTGTTTCAGAATCCCCTTGTAAAAACCAGGCATTCTCCAAAGAATTCCAAATCTTCAGTTACAACTCTAACTCCCTACTCCCACTAACGGGATTGCAGTCATCTGGCTGGAGTTTAATGGTAATGAATTGAATAGATGTGCTTCCCTTTGGGTCTCTTCTAACCACCACCAATCTCCCCTTCATCTCAGCCAGCCAGCTAACCATATTCTCCTCTAACTAGTGGACCAAGCCCAAGAAGGGAGGGGTCATTGCAACACAGCTCCTCTCCCATGGACTCTGGGGCCTTCACAGGCAGTCAGTAATGGAACCCAGGCTGGGAAGAGAGAATTAATACAGAAGGTGTTCCCTGTGTTTCCACATTGCTAATGGTTCCTTCCATTCTCCCTCTGCAGGGCCCCTGAGATCATCCTTGGTTTACCATTTTGTGAGGCGATCGATATGTGGTCCCTGGGCTGTGTCATCGCTGAGTTGTTCCTGGGTTGGCCGTTGTATCCAGGAGCTTCAGAGTATGATCAGGTGGGTCCAGATGATACAGAAACTCACAGAAAGATCTCATTCTCCATCTGGAAAACATTTTGTGCATAACCCTACCTGTGAAAGCCATTATGGGCTGTCTTCTCGTTTCCTGCACCATGCTTCCCTAACCTTGCTGTTTTTGTCTTTATATTCTTCCTGATTTCTTCTCACTCCTTCCTGTCCCTATAAAGCCATAGTTTCCATTTTTCTCAAAGCCACTGGAATAGCATGTGTATAGTGACAAGAAAAACCCTGACCTCCTTCTCATCTCTTCTTGCAGATTCGGTATATCTCACAAACACAGGGTTTGCCAGCTGAATATTTATTAAGTGCAGGGACAAAGACAACCAGGTTTTTCAACCGTGACACAGATTCTCCTTATCCTTTGTGGAGGCTGAAGGTAAGAAGAATTCCTCTCCCTCCTCACCAGTGACCACTACTTGCAGGAAGGAAGAGAACAATCCATCTGGGGGTAGGGGGAGCTTTTGAGATCAGCAGGATGGTCCCCTGGGACTCATTTTAATTCAGTCAGCAAAACGGGGCTGTGGGATACCATTGTTGATCCATGGGGTGACTGAATTTCCCTTGGCCCTCTGCTATCTGAGGAGCTCAAGTCCCAGTTTAAGACTGCTAAAGTCCCAGGATTTAATCTGATGTGCTCTGATGAGTGACTCATGTTAGAGAAAGACACACCTGGCATGTGAGAAGCTCACAGTCCAGAGAGAGACTAGACTGCAAGCTCGGGCTCATCGTGCAGAGTGACTTCCTCCCGGGGGGGAAAAGACTGGGAGTCAAGAGGGGACGTTAATACCACCTGTGGCCAAGAGCCAGATGGGAACATTTGTGCTGGGCCCTGGAGGATGAAGAGGATTTCACCAGTACAGAAGTGAGGGGCAGCATTCCCAGGCAAGGAAGCAGCCTGCGTGATGGAGTATCCCACGCCCAGGGAGCCTGACCTATCCCAGGCTGGCACGGTGCACTGCTTCACACTATAAGCTCCTGGGTGGTTTAACCTACAGAAACATATTTTGCTTTCTCTTTGATCTGTGCCTAGCAATTAAAACTGGTGTGTTTGCCTGGGAAAGAGAAACACATAAAAGTCTTAAGTATGATTTAGTTCCCTTTATTTGCAGAATGGAAGGTTAGTTGTGGGGGGAGATGAGTTGACAGAAACCCAGCCAGATTCTAAAGATACCATGTGGCCAATACCTGCAAAATATTGGGAAAAAAGATTTGGGAGCTAGGTAGGCTTTCTGAGGCTGCTGATGGGAGACCTGCCATTTAGCAACTGAGGGTGCGTGTCAAAGTCAAGTCCAGGAAGAAGTCCTCAGGTGGAGGAGGGGAAGGCCAGATCCGCCTTGTTCCACATGTCCAGCTGTTCCCAGATTTAAGCTACTTTGGGTATGCTGTCCTTGAATGGGATTTTGAGGATTAGTTACCTGTGACTCATTGATGAGTCCAAAGCTCCCTGACAATCAGAAACAGCAGTTTCCCAGGCAATTAGGGCATTTGGTGTCCGTGTCCTGACCCCAGGTAAAGGGGCAGCATAAAACACAGACTCCAGAGGCATCCACCACCTGTCACCCAGGGGACCCTGCCAGGTTCCCTAAGCTTTGTATGCCTGTGTTCCCAACTGGAAATAGGACATCGCAGCCATCCTACTTAGCGTGGTCATGAAGAGTGTCTAATGAGTTAATGTGCTCTGGAACAGCCTCTGGTGCAAAGTAGTAAGAACTGTGGTATAAGGGCTTGTTGAATAAAATTTAAAACATGTCAAAAAGGGCTCCTGCTTTTTCACAATGGAATCTTACCTTCAATTTAGGGAAGGCAGAGGGTGATCGGATATGTAGCACATCTGTGTTTACCTTAGAATCCTTGGTAATGGATTCAGGGTAGACCATGGGAAGGGAGGGAGAGAAGGGGAGAGGGAGGGAGGGAGGGAGGGAGGGAGGGAGGGAGGGAGGAAGGAAGGAAGGAAGGAAGGAAGGAAGGAAGGAAGGAAGGAAGGAAGGAAGGAAGGAAGGAAGGGAGTTAGTGTGGATGAATAGAGAAAGGCATTTGTGGAATTTGGGTGCATGTCACTTTAAGAAGAATCAAAGTCTCCTTCTATACGTGGTTGGAAAGAGATCCTCAGAAGAAGCAGGAGTTCAAGGGATTGAGACTCAGGGACTAGGAGATAAAGTACCTTGCCAATTGGTTTCACTTCTCTTGATAGACACCAGATGACCATGAAGCAGAGACGGGGATTAAGTCAAAAGAAGCAAGAAAGTACATTTTCAACTGTTTAGATGATATGGCCCAGGTAAGCTCCATGGGTGAGTATGCAGTGTAAGCCCTTTAAAAAACCAAGTGTGGCCCGACTTTGGCAAGAGTGGAATAGGGCTGGTGGAGTGGCTCAAGTGGTAGAGCACCTGCCTAGAAAGTACAAGGTCCTGAGTTCAAACCCCAGTACCACCACCACCACCAAAAAAAAAAGAGTTGAATAGACTAATGGGTAGAGACCCCCCATTACCCAACTGCAGTCATTGACTTTGATCTTGAACAGTTGTATATGCCAGCCTTAGTAAAAATACCATTTGGTTTGTTTTAAAACATTCTTACACCAGCTCCTTAAAAATAGGTTCCACTTATTGGTTCCTGTTTGTCATATAGTAACTGGCCAATCTTACAGATGTTTTCCTAAGACAAATTACTGCCCATTTGCATATGTGAGTTTAATGTCTCTGGTTAGCCAGTTTTCTATGGCTGCTATTACAAGGATGGTGAACTAGATGACTTCTGTCAACAAACATTTATTCTCTCATAGTTCTGAAGACTAAAAGTGTGTATGGAAGGTGTCTGTAGGGCCATAGTCCCTCTGAAGGCCCAAGGGACAGCCGTCCATGTCTCTCTGCAGCCTCTCATGGCTCCTGGCAGTCCCCAGCACTCCTCGCACTGTAGCCCTATCACTGGAATCCCTGCCCCCCCACCCCATGACCGTACTGTCATCTCTGTGTCTCAGTGTCCAGATCTCTTCTCTTATAAAAGCACTAGTCATTGAATCTAGGCTCACTCTTATCTACTGTGAGCCCATCTTAATGTGATTATATCCTTAAAGACCCCATTTTCCAATAAGGTCAGTTCATAGTTACCAGGGATTAGGACTTGAACATATCTTTTAAGAGAACACAACTCAACCCACTATGTTCAGTCACTGCCAGCTCACTAGAAGGGACCACAGACTCTCATCTTGGTGCGCCAGAGAAAATTCTAGAACTTCAGCTATTTTCAGTGAAGACAAACCTAAAATCAGAGCAACCAAAAGTGAGTTTTTCTTTAAAACAATGAGAAATAAAGCTATGGCCCAATAAACACTCAGCACATCTCTTACCCCAGATGAGTGTAATGAAAAATTCTGATTCTGAGTGAAGTACACTTGTCAGCTGATTAGTAGCTTAGATTGTCTGAGAAAACTGAAATTGCTTTCCAGAGCCCATCTTGAGAAAAACAGAAAGCACCACAAAACAAGCCTTTTAAAGGACATCCTAGTATAGACTTGCTCTTGGAAGAAAAACCTGCCTGTCTTGGCCAGAGGTGACTGCAGTGAACATGGAATTAAAATAATTCATGGTCCCAATTCAGGAAGGACCTGCGTGCCTTCCATTTCCACCTCAGAGTTAAAGAAACCTTTTTGCACCTTTTTTCTACTGCTTCATTTTGATTCTTCTGTTCTTAATTGTGGTAAAACCACATATAGCATAAAATTTATCATCTTAGCCTTTCTTCAATGTACAGTTCAGTAGCATTAAATACACCCACATTGTTATGCAACCGGTCTCCAGAACTCTTTTCATCCCGTGGTTATTTTTAATGAGGTGTGATGAGAGCCGCACTTCGACTTAACTGATTAAAGCAGGAACAATTTACATGCTATCACTGAGATGTGTTTGCAGGTGCCAACCTGACTCACTGCAGTGGCCGTCTCCTCCTCCCCACCCCTTCCCAGGGCCTGGCCTCTTCTGCCAGTCCTGCAAGGGAAAAGCCACAACCTGCAGACCACAGCAGCATTTGGGTGGTGCCTTCAACCAGGCAGAGCACAGTCTCCTGGGAATTGGGAGAGATCAGGAGGAAGTTACAGGGTTAAGAATTAGAGGAATCAGGCACACTAGAGCCCTGGGTCACCTGTCCCTGTCTGCTTCTAGGTGAACATGACGACAGATTTGGAAGGAAGCGACATGTTGGTGGAGAAGGCAGACCGACGGGAGTTCATTGACCTGTTGAAGAAGATGCTAACCATAGATGCTGATAAGAGGATCACTCCGATTGAAACCCTGAATCACCCCTTTGTCACCATGACACACTTACTTGATTTTCCTCACAGTACACAGTAGGTGTCTTGCTCGGTCCTTCAGCCCAGGGGACAGCAGATATTTCAGGCTTTGCTTCCTGTTGCAGCTACCCAACTCTGGCATTATAACTCCACAGGCATAGATGGCAGATATAAATGAACACAGGCTGCATTCCAAATGCACATTTATAAAAACACGTGGGGACTGGATTGGAAGCCAAGGCTATAGTTTGCTGTGTACCAAAAAGGGGGCAACAGTGAAACACAGTACACCATGGGCTGGGGGAACCAGACTCCAACATCTGTGCACCAAAACGACAGTACCCTAGAGCAAAACTAGTTTCAGCACCAAAGCTGAGTCCCAGACCACCTTGGAGTGGACCTGCTGTAGTTTATATTTGATTTGTTCATTGTCTCAGTGTGCTGAATATTGTGCCAGGAACTGGGGAGTGAAGCCCATGGGGTCCCTGACCACCAAGCTCACAGTCTCCAGGACAGAGGAAGGTGTAAGACACGTGGTGGCCAAATGATCAGGCTGTCATCAGGAAAGGGATGGGGTGTAATGAGCCCATGTAACAGGGAGCTCACTTGGCAGGCCAGGAATGCCTAGAAAGTGACCTCTAGGGGTGAGGAAGAGGATGGGGTCAGCAGGCAGGGCATCCCCCATGCAGACATCCACGGGGGCAGGACCAAGCATCAGACTCAGGGACAGTGGGTGACATGCTGAGGCCTCAGGAGTAAACCAGGGCAAGCCCTCCCTGGTGAGTATTTTGGTCTTTATCCACAAAGCAATGAGGACTCATTAGAAGACTTTTAAGCAGAGAATGGCTGGTTAGATGTGTGTTGGACACAAATCTATCAGCCTGCGGCACAAGTGGTCTAGAAAAACTGTCCGTTGGATCTCACCACTCAGAGGTCGTTAGTAACTTAGCAACAGCTATATCGGTGCAGTGACAGAAGCAGGAACCCGTTTAGCAGGTTGAAAATCAAGTGAGAGGCAAAGAAGTAGATAGCAACCTTTCCAGAAGTGAGGCTGTGAAAAGAAAAGGAAGAAATAGGTGACCAGAGAGGGCCAAGGGAAGTTTTTTTTGTTTTTTTTTTTTTTTGAAGTTGGAGAAAACTTGAGCAATTTTAAGTGCTGATGGGAGAATCTGGTAGAAGGTGGGAGAGTGAAAGAAAAAGATGCCCTGGGTCTGTTTCCTGAGATTGTGGGAGGGGCTGGATTAGAACCCAGATGGAGAGACCAGCCCATATCCCTAAAGGATGGTGGACAGGGGTGTGTGAGTGCTGCAGGTATGCTGGGTGAGCAGAGGAAAGTTGCAGAAGTTTCTGTCAGACAGCTCTGTCTCAATGAGACAATGAGGTTACCTGTTGAGAACAAGGTAGCTAATGAATTAAGAATGGTAGAAAGTCAAGGCCGGATGCAGTTGCTCCCACCTGTAATCCCAGATACTCAGGAGGTGGAGATCAGGAGGATCTTGGTTTGAGGTCAGCCCATGCAAAAAAGTTCACAAGACCTCATCTCAACCATAAAAATCTGGGTGTGATGGCACAAGCCTGTCATCCCAGCTATGTGGGAAGTATAAATAGGAGGACCTCAGTCTAGGCTGGCCTGGATAAGCAAATGTGAGATCCTATTTGAAAAATACCTAAGGTAAAAGGGTCTGGAGGCATGGCTAAAGTGGTAGAGTGCCTGCCTAGGAAGCCTAATGAAACCCCAGTACCACAAACAAAAATAAAATTAAAAAGATAGAAAGTCTAGGAAGCTAGACAGTGACAGAGCAAACTGACCAGGGATGTTGAGTGTTGAGGTTGGACAAGATGGGGTGGTGGTGTAACTGACTTTCCCACGGGAAGGCACTGAGAAAACAGATAATCGGATTTGTCCAGAAGCTGTTAAGAGAAGAAGACAAACTGCTGAGGAAGAGGATGACGCTGACAAGAGAGTGATTGTAACCCAAAATGTCAGCCATTGGCAGCTAAGTGGACAGGAAAGGAAGTAAAGGTGGGAGGGGTCCAAATGAGCCACCTGTGTGGACATCTCCAAGAATGGTTACCACAATAGTAGTTGAGTGCGGTAGAGGATGTGGCTGGGAAACAGGAGGCTTGAGTTTTGGTTTGGGGAGAGTTTCAGGTCTGACAGTTCAGGGGATGGGTGGTAGGACTGAGGACAAGGTCACTGAAACAAGAAATAACTGAGAATCCATGGTATTTGACAAGCCATCAGTGCCGTTTCTGAAGTCTTCCTGGGTGGAAGAGGAAAACTGAGTCAGTGACAAAGGCCTCCATGAATGAGAGGGAGAGAAGGGTCATTGGTGCATGGGAAGTGGAGAATGCAGTTCAGCCCCGAGGTACTCTGGACATGAAGTCTGCAGGGAGGCTAGAGTGCACTCGAGACAGGTCCTCTTAGATCCTGGGGGAAAGGAATGTGAGGACAAGAGTCTACAGATGAGAGGGGTTACCGACCAGGGCCAGCGTCAGATTGGACTGAGTCTGTCTGAACCTGGCCTCTCCCAGCCTAAGAGGAGCAATTGGGCAGATGCTTCCTGAACTTCAGTTCTGTTCCTTAGCAGAACTGAAGCAAATCAAATTACACTACAACAAGTAGACAGTGCCTCTGTAATTCAGAACCACTGAGCTCCAGCACAAAGAAAGAATCTAGACACCGCCCTTTCAAACTCATGTTTCAGGATCCAAGCAGTTTCTGAGTGTGGCAGCAGTAAGTCAAGGAGGTGTCAGTCTGTCCCACAAGAAGACAGACGAACTCAGTGGTCTACTGGATAGAGCTCCCATCAGGCCAGTTTTTGTACATTCAGGGACAGAGGGAGGATAGAGAAGTGGCAGTGGCTGGGAGACAAGAGGGGAGGTGCTCTTTAGGCAGCTCTTGTTGGCCATCTGTGCTGAGTTACCACCATAAAGCTGGTGGCTCAGATGAGTGGGGTCATGCCCTTGTTTGGACTCTGTAAGGAAGCATCAATAGAAGACTTCACTTAGGAGCACTGACCATTTAGAGCTCAGGAAGTAGGCAGCCTAAGAAGGAAAGTGGGTGTTTGAGTACACCTAGGATTACCTGAGAAGAGGCCAAATCCCCAAGGGTCCCCAGAACTAGTTGGAGAGGTCATGGAGAACTCTGGGATGAGAATAAACCTCCAGGCTACTCTTCTTTGGATCCTACCCTTGGGGCTGGGCCACAGCTGCCCGACATCTGGTGGCTGGGTACAGGAGGCCCCACTTGTTTCTCTATTCCAGGATAGTAGTACAGGAATTCTCTAAAAAAACAGTGTTCTTATAAACTAACCCAAAGCAAAAATGCTTGCCTCAGTCTAATGATCAAAACTCAAGCCATTTTAGTTAGACATTTCTGAAGGAGTCTGAAAACTTCACATTGAACTGTCACAAAACACTCGATGCTTTAAACACATTCCTAAAAGAATGCAAACTATTGTTTTATGCCTCAGCTCCCTGGGAAAGCACTTGTCAGTATACTTGATCCTGAGCAGAAGCTCCAAACACATTGGTAGTCACCACGGAATGTTTTCCACCCAAGGCCATCAGCCAGTAAAGGATAATTTAGTGTGCATTGTGGCCAGTGCTAGTATTCATTAACTTAGAAAGAAGTAGGATTCTCTAATTCATGTCTAAGTTAGGTTTTTGAAACTTGGAAAGAGTATTTTTGGATAGCCCACAAACACCTGCTTAGCCAAAAATATAGTATACCTGTAGTATGAAGAAATAGCAGACATTTCTAATCCCAAAATAGTAGATAAATTATTTGTATTCAGTTATTGCATTCTAATTAAAACAGACATTTTAAATGGAAGACTAGATGGGATTTTATCTTGAATGTTAGCATTTGAGGAAAAGTGAGGTTAATGAACGGAAGACTCAGAAGTGAATGAGGGATGGATTCAGAAGGATACATGAAAGGGTCTCGGGAGGTGGAATGACCAAGGCCACTTTAGGCTCTCCTGTCCTCCATGCCGGTGTCTGCCACTTTCATACTTTTGTTAATTAGGGCTTTGTTGATTCACCGATGCAATGGAGGGAGAAAAGAGGGAGAGAACTCTGCATGAAAGAGAAGAAAACAGGATGAGAGAAGTTAAAGAGGAGGGGAGTGGGTGTGAAGATTGCTAGTAAACACCTATCCACTGCAAGTTAAGTTACCTGTCCTCCTGAAATTTCAGCCTTCCTCATAAAATACAAGCAATAATTCAATCTCCCTCTTGAGAATATCACAGGAGCAAGTAAGAAATTGCAAACACCTTCCACTGCTCTCAATAACTGTTAGCACTACTACTTATTAATTAACTGTTAGCACTATTTATTATTAATTAACTGTTAGCACTATTGTTTTCATACATGCCCAATTCTAGTGAGGAGGAAGAGTAGCCACAAGGTCATGACCTTGGGCTGGGGAGCTCCTTGGCCAGGTGCTGACCACCCAGAGTAGCTAGAAAGGGGAAGCACAAGTTAGCTTTGGGGATGGTGGAGGCAGGTGTAGCTGCTATGAAATGCTCCCAGTCAGACTTTACACTGTTGTTTATGGGCCAGAACCACACTGAGAGTTAAAAGTGAGTGGTGAGGGTGTAGGTGGGTCAGCGATGGAAGAGAAATGCAGTGGGAGAATTTCTGTGATACATAGAACCTTTGCCTACCCAGGATGGGGAAAGGGGCCAGGGAGATGATGGTAACACTGGCAGTTGCAAATGCAGACTTTACCTGACAAAGCCAGATGTTTAAGCTAAAGTTACATTTCACTGCTTGTCTTGTTTACTGGATTAACCAGTCTCTTCTTTTCTCTCCATTCCTCCCTTTATCCCACCTCACCTTCTTCTTCTTCCCTTTATCCCACCTCACCATCTTCTTCTTCCCTTCCCCATGCATCCCTTCCCCTGCCTGTCTCTGCCTTTTGGGTGAACAGTGTCAAATCGTGTTTCCAAAACATGGAAATCTGCAAGCGGCGGGTGAATATGTATGACACGGTGAACCAGAGCAAAACCCCCTTCATCACACATGTGGCCCCCAGCACATCAACCAACCTGACCATGACTTTTAACAACCAGCTGACCACTGTCCACAACCAGGTGAGTAGGAAGCCCAGGGAAAGGCAGGCGGGTTGAAAATGTGAATGTCAGGACTCAGTCTCCCCACCAAGCCCAGGCAGGAGACAGAACTGTCACATTCAGCTCTGTAAGATAGTATTTGTTTCCATGATACTTCCTTTGAGAGACCCAGCCACTCTCTGTACCAGCCACTGTCCGTGCTGAAAGGTCCCAGAAACAACTCACAAAGGCACTTCTTTCTAAGGTGGTGCTTCTCCCCACTGTTCTCTGCCCTGATGAAGAGTGGGGAGAGGAGGGCTAAGGTCCTTTTATGCCTGACATCTTCCTGATAGCGAATTCTAGAACCAGAAGAACCTCATCCCACCCCTCACCCACACCCATGTCCACATGATCTCCTTTCTGGACAGAAAAAATCCTGTCCTTTTTCTAAGTCATGGGAAAGCCAATTCAGTGATCTGTCACCAGAATCCCAGCAGCAGGACCTAAAGGGGACAAGGAAACTAAGGTTTTCCTCCCACAGATTTCCAGCCTTTTGTAGAATATCTGCAGAATCCAGCAGCTGAGTTCAAAGCTTGAAAAATAGATGACACACAGGAAATTTACTGAACGAATAATCTCAGGTGCTACTCCAACTGCCTCTAGGGTCTAAGAGATTCTTACCTCTCATCTTCCATCTTTCCAGTCCCCAAAAAAAGTCCTAATGTCAATCTATAATGACAACAGTGCACCTGTGTATTCACACACACACACACACACACACACACACACACACACACACACGCGCGCGCGCGCGCGCGCAGTCTCACATACCTCCAGAGGAAGTAGGAATACCTGCACCTGGCTTGTCCATGCTTTATTGACAGGTCTCCTCTCTGTCACTGGGGAATCACTGACCCCTGCTTTTCAGCCCTTACCCACCTTGTTTTCCTGGTCACTCAGGGAGGACATGTGTTGCTAAGGTCTAGCCTCACTTCCCAATCTGTCAACCCTTCCTCTGCCCAGACTCTAGGCAATCACCTGGAATCTGTTGCCCCCTGGGGGCCATTAATGTTCTTGAAGCTCTCTTTAGAGTGAATAGCCAGTGCTCTTTAATGCTTAGGACCAAAGAAATGAACATTGTCACCTGTCCCCTAGCCTGTTAAAGCCTCCACATCTGGAAGTGAACTTCACCATGGGTTTGCTCGTTACCTAGAGGAAGCTTGTTTTTCCAGCAGTCCTCATGAGACTCCTGATCTTAACTCCCTAACCCCAGGCTGCCTATGCTCACCTGCCATCTGTCTGCCTTACCCAATACCCAAGAATCTAAGAGAGAGCAAGGGAAGGGAGTTCCTCCAGTGCGTATCAGGTCAGGTGAGTCTCCCCACCAATCTGGCCTTTCCATGGATGTTTCTCCACTAGACGGCAGAACTGTGGTTCTGGGGTCCCTGACCACACCAGAGAGGCCACCTCTATCATACTTGGATGGCAGCCAGCACATCCATTCCAAAGTGTCACAAAGGCTGCAAAACCCAGAGGGCTTCTCATCAATAGTCAGTCGTGGAATGAGAATATCTTTCTTCTCCACAGCACTGAGACTGTTCAAATCAGGCTGAGGCCTAGGGGAAAGGAGAAGCGGCTGGTAGTTTAGCACAGTGGTGGGCCAAAGCATCATGAAGTGGGTCCCATCCTTCATCACAAGGAGTCTGAGAACAGGGTCTTCATTCTCTGGCACTGGACTTTACTTTGCCCTACTTTTCAAAGTATCAGAGGAAAATTACTCAGGACACCACCTAGCCGTAAGCACTAAGGCATGGTCTCTCCCCTCTGATGACGTTACAAAATAATAACATTACTAATAGCAAAGTTATTGAAGCTGTTCGTTGTGTGCCAGACTCTTTTAAACATGTCCTAACTCAGTCCTCCCATCAAAAGTGTGAGGTATTATTGTTTTAGAGGAGGAAACTGAGGCACAGAGTGATTACTCCTGTTACCAAAGGCTACTTTCTAGTTCATGTGAGATGGGTTTGGGGTTTGAACCCAGCAGGCTGACATCAGAGTCTGTGCTCATGAAGTACACACACAGAAGCACCTGATGAGTCCTGTGGAGGACCTCAGATGCCTTTCCTAGGTGGCATCCTCACTCTATATCCAACGAGACCTCCTGTGTCCCTTAGTGGTCAGCAGCTTGCTCTCTATGTGAGTCCCTTGAACTTTTTCTCCCCATTTAGATGTTTTAAACAATAAAATATAGCCATAGTCTCAGGTGAGAAGGAGGACACTGAAAATTCCTTGCTACCCTGAACATATATCCAGTAGACTAATTAGAGGACTTGGTCCCAAATGGTTGCTAACCTTTAATCCTTTATGTCTCAAGGAAGCTGACTGCCTCTATTTTCTAAAATTGTTAGGTTGCCCAGTTGGTAACCTACTGAATAAGGAGTCCTCTCTTGGATATTCTTCATTCAACCTATAGATCAGTCACTTCACTAACATTCCTTAGGTATTATTTGGACCTAGCCTTCTAACAAGAATTTTCACTTGTGTTTATAGGCCAAGTTCATACCCCTTTTTTTATGGCAAACCATTTAAACATCTATTACAACTGCTTCCAAGAATCACTTCTCCAATTTTTTCAGTTTGAATTCCTAGCAAACTTGCTTTTTCTGATTTCCATGTGTTGGCCACGACAGCTCTTAGCAGTCCTCTCTGCTCCTCTGGTACAGGTGATAGGCCTGTGGCCCTTCTCAGAACCACAGAGGATACAGAGCAGTAGAAAACACTGTCACCCTCATACGTGCTTCTTTAGCTGATCCGTAAGCAAGATTAAAAACTAGGGGAAAACTGTCTGCATGCCTACTCATCATACTGAGGACTGGGGCCCATGTCAGGACACAAGTTCCATTTGTTCTTGAATCTACAAAATGCTGGAGGATGCAGCCTCTCCGGGAGCTCATGGTCTCCACTGTGAGACAGACCCTAAACAAAAACAGATAAATCCAAACGCAGATGGGCACATGAAGGTGGTGGAGAAAACAGACTATATTGCAGAACTAAGAGGCAAAAGAGACCCAGTCTCTCCCTTGCAAGGAGGGATAGTCTGCAGTCAGATTGTACTGCCAGGCAGACTGTGACAAACAGGTTACTGTGTGAGAGCAAGGATAGGAGTGACTTGTTTCCATTGAAGGTGTCAGAAAAGGTTCAGTTGAGGAGCACTGGGACCCAGGCAAGTCCCTGAAACACAGAGGCTTGCAGTGAATGTTGGGGGCCAAAGGATCTGTGTGAGATGAAGGCATATGCTCACAGTAGGCTCAGAAAACAATGAGCAGACTAGTCTGCCCCATGCCAAGAGCACGGAAAGAAGGGAAAGGTAACAACTCATGCCTGAGAAACAAGTACCAAGTGAAGATGTACATACCACGCTCATCATCGGGAGCTTGTGAGCTGGGGGCTGACGTGCACAGTGGTGTTTAGGAAAGACTCGTCTAGCCTCTGTGTCCAGGAGAAATGCAAGAGAAGTTAAGGACAGGACACCACTAGTTAGAGCATCACCGGTCCCAGGCACCAGGCAACTGAGAAGAGTCAGTGAGTTCCAGGGACATTTGGAAGACAGAAGCTGCAGAAGCAGTGACAGACCAGAGGGTGGGTGGGAGAGGATGGCCCAGTCAAAGTGTGAAGCCTAAAGGACATTGGTGCCAAGCAGGGGACCCCTAGATGCTGAGCTGGGCTTGGTCATGTAGTACATGAGCAGACAGTGGGAAATGTGTGGTGGAAGACCCTGGGAGGAGGATGGTGTGGGGAGGATGGAGAGGAAGTGCAAGTTGTGTTAACGTGGCAGAACATAGACACTGACCCCCACATACGCACACGTGTGTCCCCAACCACTCACCCGGAGGCAGACCGTGTAAGGCTGCAAACACACACACATATTTTTAAATATGAGTCTCAGAATCCAAATATGTATGCCACCAAGTTTAGTGATTATTTTCAAACAAATTAATTTGCTTTGTACAGCACAAAGTCTAAGCATAAAAAGCATATAAAATGAGATTTTTACCTTTTTGTCAAATCTGACACATATATCTAGCTCCATTTGAAATTCTTTTTTGTATGTGTGTCTGAGATATCCTTAGGCTCTTTTCCTCCTTATTCCTTGCTCTTTGTAAGCTCTCAAGGACAATGCTGAATTTGAAGCCATCGGTAACCTCTGCCGATCTTGCTTACGGATCAGTGTGAAGAAGGAGAGAAACCGAAGAATTCCCAGTGCAGAATTTGTTTTCCCTCTGCAGCCTTGCTTCCCATGGAAGATCAGTCTCAAATGATGTCTCTTTCTGAAAGAAAAAGCAGATAGGACACCATCTCAATGCATGCATTTGTCAAACGTACCTCCATGTAAATCATCTTAACTCATCATCCTCTCTGCCTTCCAGCCTTAGCCACTGGACAGCCTAAGTGCTGGAACTCAAACAAGAAAGCCCAGTCTCTGTGTGTCCCTCTCCCCTCTGGGGATTTGCAGTGCATAACTCTTGGCTGTGGCTGTGCCCTGCAGCCTAAGGGGATTTGGGAGCAGTATCACCCTGAGACCTCAGCGGAAGGCTCCTCCGGGGCCTGCTCTGGCCCTCCTGACACATGTGCTTCTATGCTATGCCCTGGGAATCTGGGACTTGGGGTCTTTAGGGCCGAAGGAATCCCTTCCTGGACTCATCCTCCGAGGTGTGGACTGCACCACCAGGCCCAAGGCAAGGGGCACAAGGTGCTGCACCTGAAACCCCTTGACTTGGGGCCACACTGGGGCAAGGAAAAGGAAGGTGGGATTCAGCTCCTCCCACCCCACCCCATCATGTCCCAGTGCAGAAATCCCTTGACTTGGTCTGGGGATATAGCTTGGTGAGTGGCTGCCTAGCATGGATGAGGCCCTGGGTTCAATCCCCAGCAGCACACACACAGAATAAAATAATGTAAAACAAAACCCTTCCACTCAAACCTGGCTTTCCAGGCTGTTAGGAAGGTGAATTTGTCGAAACAGAAGGGCAGCCTTTCATTAAACAATTTCTAGCCTACCTTAACTTTTCAGTATTCAGACTCATGGTGCACAGGTGTCCTTTGTGGGGCCCTCACGTCTGGGCCCCACAAAGATGAGGGTTCAGGGCCTGCCTTCCCCTGAGACTTTCAACCTGATGTCTGCTCCTCTCTGTTTTTGCTTTTTCACTCTTAGGTTTTTTGTTCGTTTGCTCTTCTTTGAGTTCATTTATTTTCTTTAGGTTCCGTGTCTCCCAACATACCACCTCCCTCATTTTTTATTTTTGTTTATTTTTGTTTAATTCCCATCATTCCTTTAGGCTCCCACCTCTACCAGTGCCACTATTTCCTTAGCCAATCCCGAAGTCTCCATACTAAACTACCAATCTGCACTCTACCAGCCCTCAGCGGCGTCGATGGCCGCGGTGGCCCAGCGGAGCATGCCCCTGCAGACGGGAACAGCTCAGATTTGCGCCCGGCCCGACCCCTTCCAGCAAGCTCTTATTGTGTGTCCCCCCGGCTTCCAAGGTAAGCTGAGCCAACGCCTCACCTGCTTCTTGCAGGAGCGCCCCTAGGGTTCCCGCACCTGCTGTTCTCTGGCGTGCTCACTTGTGTAGAAGAAAACCCTCTTCCTTTGCTTTCAGGGACAGTGCTGGTGTCACTAAACTCAGGGGCTCCTATCCTATGCAACCAACCCAGAAACAATAGGATTTGTGTTTGGCCACCAAGTCCATTTGTTGTTATTCTTAACACCTGCCAGGGACATGGTCACTTCAACTGTCGATAAGCACGTGGTGCTCCATTGTTCCTCTGATGTCAGCTCTGGTGGCCTCCTTGAATGAGATGTCCTCTGTGTGCGTGTAACTATAGAAAACTGTCACTCTCTCCCAGTCAAAACAGTTCCAGTTCACATGGGGAGTATAGATCTGTCTGAAAAGTACCTTCCAGGGCCTCCTCCCCAAAATGATTCTTTGGCTATGACCCCAGCACTCTTTTTCTGGCAACTCTTACGAAGCTTGAAGTGACTATGTGCCTTGTCACCATTTACACAGAAAGCTCAAGAATGTATTTTGACAAACCCCACATGTAAACCTGTGCGTGGTGGCTCAGGACAGTCAACGAGATTCCAAATGGATCCATCCATCTCTCCCTGATACTCCTTGCTGTGACAAGGGCAGATGCCCTTGTTTTCCTGTTGTATTTGTCAACATAATTGTCCCTCTTCGGGCCATATATACTCTTTAAATTGACCTTCAAGGCTTTGAATACTTTAAAGGTTTGTTGGGGGGAAGTTTTGGCTTTAAGTTAAAAACTAAAGGGAAAACTTCCAAGGGCCCACCCAGAAACTGGCTGTGGAGCAGGGACTGGGAGATGACAGCTAGGAAGGTTGCCTTCATCCAGCTGTTACAGTCACACTCCCTTGTCTCTCCTCCCCACCTCCCTTGTCCTGGGTAGGCTTGCAGGCCTCTCCCTCTAAGCATGCTGGCTACTCAGTGCGTATGGAAAATGCCGTGCCCATCGTCACGCAAGCCCCAGGAGCTCAGCCTCTTCAGATCCAGCCAGGTCTGCTCGCCCAGGTAATTCTTCTGTGTTATTCCTTGTGTTACCGTTATCCACATTAATGTGGTTCGCTAAAGAGATGAATCTCCACTACCTCCCTCGCTGGTAATGAGCTAGGAGCTCCCAGTCATCGGAATATGTCTGTAATATTCTAAATGATCCCCGAGTGAATAACCTCCCTAAGTAGCTGCTTACCATTCCAAAAAAGAAATTTAGATACAGAGAGTCTAGGGAAATTATTATTGTATCTTTATAATGCAAATTAATCTAGGAGATCTAGGTTTTAATCCTAAATCTGCTAGTAATTCTCAATGACCCTAAGGCAAGTCAGTTAACATCTCTTTGCCTCAAATTTCTTTCTTATAAAATAGAAAGGATTTTTTAGAGCCAAAAGATGCCCTAGAGATTATCCCCTCATTTTTATAGTTGAAAAATACAGACTCACAGAAGCTGTGAACTGGAACCTTCCTTATCTGTCTGTGTAGGTGCTGTAATGGTAGAAGGAGAGCACAGAGATGAAAAATGGTTGAAAATGTATGATGTGTTATACAAATTTAAGGTAACAGTACTGATGCAATGATAACAGCAATGAAACCTAATGACACTTGATCCCTAATAACAAATACATTGTCTTTATGCTAGGCACTTTAAAGTTAATTTATTTAATCCCCACAACAACCTAGGAAGGTATTTGTCTCCACTTAAAGGGAAACTGAAGCACAATAATGTGCTCAAAGTCACACGGCCACTGGGTATTAGAAGTAGGACACGTACCCAAGAGGTCTGTCTGATGCCGGCTTCTGCATTTACCACCATGGTATGCTGTTTCTGTATGATCAGTTCCACTGCTGGACTTCAAGGACAGCTTGGCCTAAACCTTGTTGGTTTGGTGGCACCTGTATTTTTAAATAAGGTACTTTCATGTACTTACCACGTTTGAGTGTGTTCTGGGTTCTCACATAGTCCTCTGGCATCTATAATATCCTGTTGTCTTAAACATCGTAACTTTAATATATGTCTTGGCATCTGGTAGGGAAAGCCCTGCTCCTATTCAGTTCTTCAGAATTTTCCTGTCACTTCTTGTCTCTTTATGTGTCCCTGTCAGTTTTAAAAATACAAAGACAAAAAACAAAAACAAAAAAACCTGACTTATACTTAACTAGATTTGCATTGGAATTATATTTACTTGAGGAACGATTTGACATCCTTATAAAATGAAGTCATTTTATCCGTGAACATGTGTATAAGGAGTTATGTACTGTTACTTTCAATAAAGTTTTGCCTTGTTGGAAAAATTCTTGAGCATTTTACAGTTTTCCGTTGCTACTAATTTTAATCACTACACTTTCTAATTATTTGTCTTTGGTTTCTAGGAATAGAACTGATTTAGGTGCATTGAGACTGTTACCTAGCAGTCCTGTTTCTGTGACTTCTCTTGAATTTGCTGCATAGACATTAAAACAATATTTGATAACAGTGGTGGGTCTGAACATCCTGAACTCCTATATAACTTTAAAGAAAATTCTTCTCATTGTTTCCCACTGGGTATTTTATGTACTATAAATATTCAGTAGAGACACTTTGTCACATTTTTATTTTTAAATTTTTTTTGGCACCAGTGAGGTTTGAACTCGGGACTTCACGCTTGCTAGGCACATGCTCTTACCACCTGAGCCACTCAGCCCTTAAATGAATATTGAGTTGTATCAAATACAACTAGAATAATCGTGTGGTTTTGTTCCCTAATCTGACACTATGGAAAATTATATGAATAGAGTTTGTAGTGCTAAACTGCCCTTGTACTTAGGCGGTAAACTCTACTTGATTGGGTTTCTCTTGCTATGATGATATGCCGGTTGATACTGAATTCAGTTTGCAGTTACTGTGGTGTGCATCTATATTTGTAAGTGAGAAAAAGCATAATTTCCCTCTCTTACGGAATCCTTATCTGATTTGCATACAAGAGTCTCATAAAACATGTTGGATATTATTGCCTCTCCTGTTTTCTAGAATGGTTTAGTTAAGATTGCTATTACCCATTCTTCATCTCTTTATGCTTATGTCCAAACAGACCCTGTGCAAGTGACCACTAACACCAGCAGTTGGTGACACACAAATTTTTTTCTTGTTGAAAGGCTGTTAACAAAGAACCTTCTGTATTTAAAGCAGGCCTATACCTTGCTCTCTCATCAGTCCTTGTGGCTTCCTTTTATTTGCATAGTTCAATAGTGGGGAGTTCATAAAAGGCCAGGATAGATCAAGGGGAAGACCTACAGCTCAGTCCAGAGGAAAGAAGCTTATTCATACTTTGCCTCAGAGGCAAAAGTCCAGGCCAGACTCCCAGCGCTCCTCCTCTGTGAGCCAGAAGTACACAGATTTCATGTGTACTTTAAAGGGTAATTACAGCACTTTTGAGTTTGCACCCTTAACCTAAGTAAGCCAGGAGCCATCCCTGTTAGAAATCCTAAGCAGCGCGTCTTATTAGCTAAAATAGACCTTCCTCACCATTCAGTTTGGAGGAGCCAACAGGCTGGGGTGTTTCTGTCCTTCATTCATAGCAGGAGAGAGCGCTACCTTTTGCTCACTTGAAAAATAGTCCCTAGAGTGTTATATATCTCCAAGGTGATTTAACCTAAGTCTGTAATTGGGAACAAAAAAAATGTGTGTACAAGGATTTTAATTGCTACAGTGATTATAACAAGGAGCTGTTGGAAGCAAGTTGATGTTGATCAGTAGGAACTTGTTACATCAATAGATGAATACATAAAATGGAACACCATGCAGCCATTAAAAAGGATATGGCAACCTATGTGTCTTGACAGACAAAGACTTCTCAGATATATTAAGCAAAAAATCCTGCCCTCCCATATCACACTGTCTTTTTGTTTTGTTGGTGGCTTTTTCTTTATCTTTCTGTTTGTCACTTAATCCACATCACCATGTTAGCCTGTTAAGATGATGTTCTCTCCTAGATGTTTTTATACTGTCCTTTCAAAGGATAAAAATAAGTTAACTAACAAAACCAGTATGTCGCTATTATGTAAAAAAGCAATAATTAAGCATTTAAATTGAAGCCTGCATTTTTCTATGAGTAAGTTTCTAGGTATCAGGCAGAGACATTCCAAACAATATTATTTGCTTTAAAATATATCCAAAAAGTTGACATCCTTCTTTCTACTGCTAACTTCTATTTCTAACTACTTAAAATATTTCCCAGGGTTTTATTTGGAAAGGTTTAGAGCTAGGACTTCTGAATCTGTTCCTCATGTTAATTCCATTTTCTTCGCCCTTTTCCTCCCTCCCTCCCAGAAGCATCATCACATATCCCTTACAGGGCGTACGGCTGTGTGGGTCACCCTGAGGATGTGCATGGCAGGAGGGCATGGTGGTCACACCCTTCCAAGTCACTGACATAGCAGTGATCTCTTTTTTCATATAGTACTGGGGTTTGAACTCAGGGCCTCACACTTGCTAAGCAGGTGCTCTACCACTTGAGCCACTCTGCCAGCCCTTGGAATGACCTTTTATGTTTTAATTTTTTATTCATTTATTCACATGTGCATACATTGTTTGAGCCATTTCTCCCCCCCCCCACCATCCCCTCCTTTCCCCCCACCCCTCAGGAATGATCTTTATAGAACCAGATACAAGAGCTATTATCTCCTACTCCCAAGCCACAGTTAGCACCTTGGCCACCAACAGATATTGTGAGTGAGCAGGTGGAGAGATGGGAAGTACAGTTCTTGATTGAGAAAATACTGGGTTTATTAAATATTAAACGTGTCCAATGGCAGGACCCACAACCATCTTTGATTAGCAAGGCTGGGTCAGAAATTCAGAAATGTCAGAGCCTTGTAGACTCCACCTTCCATGAAGAAGTTCCTGCCTTCTTGTAGCCAATTGAATCGTATCATCTGAAGGCCTTTCTATGTGTCCCTGAGGTCAAGGTGCCAGCCTGAACTCTGTAAATTGTCCAAAACCCCAAACTCCAATGCTTCTCACTCAAAACCTTAACCGATGATATTTTCAGCAACCAGTCTTTCCAGCCTTCGTCTTGCTGTCTGCTTCTGTCTCCTTTGGCACCAAGAATGTTAATGAATCAGGAAAGTTTGTTTGGGCCACCTTTATGAAGTGACCACCAATACTCATTCCAAATACTAGCCACCATCTTTGTGCTGTCTCCGTACAGAGGCAGGATATCGGCTGAGAGCTTAGGACTTATGCCAGCCCCACTGCTTACTGGCTATATGACTTTGGGAAAGTTATTTTTGGGTTTAAATTTCATTCTTTGAAAAGTAATCCAGGTGTGTAATTTTTTAAGTTATATAATACCACAAACTTACTAGAAAATACAATCCCCTGCTCTACCCCATTCCTGAATTTCTACTTCCCCAAAACAATAATTTTAAACTTAACCATTCCTTTTACTTAACTCCATATAGCTAAATAGAATATTAGAGTGCTTTTTACTGATTCTTCCATTTTTAGTATTACAAATTGACTTTCTGTTATTATGATGAAGAGGACACTCCTCCCCCTATAACACAGTCTCTCTCCCTCACTATCACTCACTTCTTTCTCTCCTTCCTCCCATATCAGTTTTGGTTCAACTACTTTGTAATATTCACTGGATGTAGATATTGATGTACAGATATTTCAATGATACTTCATGAGTATATAAATTTTTGTAGCAGTACCAGGGTGTGTGCTCAGGACCTCACACTTGCCAGGCTGGCACTCTATCACTTGAGCCATTCTTCCAGTTCCACATAGATACACATTTTTAATTCTTGTGGACATTAATTACAGATCTTTGGGAACTTTCTTCTGATTCCTACATTGCTTTCATTTCTTCTGAGTTTGTTTTGTTTGTTTACTTTGGACTCTTTCATATTAGATACTTCTTACAGGTTACCCTTGGCATTCATGCATGTTTAAGACTGAAACACTCAAAAAACTAGCAGATAGGAGAGACTTCTGGATGTGGGCTTCCCTGTGGTTGATAAGAGGCAAGCCCAGTGTCTTCACTGGCAGAGCCCTGATCCTCCAGTGTCGTGTCTGTGACTCTCTTTTCTAATAGTTCTTTCATTTTCTGAGAGAAACATCCAGCCTCCTGCTTTGGGGGAGGTATAAACTTGCACACCAGAGATCTGGGAAGTGAGGGCTTTAGTACACAGACTCACCTTGGATCCTTATGCCAACTCACTTGGTAATTGTCCATCTGTTTCCTCATCTAAAATCTCAATAATGGCTATTATCTCCCCCCTATTTTCTTTGCCCTTAGGAATCTTTTTTTTTTTAACTCCTCTATCATTTTAATTGGGTAAAGAAAGCAATAAATGTATGTATTCTCATTTGCCATGTTTCTGGGCAACTTGTTTAACCTACCCGTCTCAGTTTATTTATCTGATTAATGGGAAGAAATTATAGTCCCTACCTCACAGGAGTGGTAACCACACATATCAAGAAATATTAGCTCTAGCTGAGCTCTGGTGGCTCGTACCTGTCTAGCTACTTAGGAGGCAGTGATCTCAGTTTGAAGCCAGCCCAGGCGAATAGTTCATGAACTATCTCAAAAATGCCATCACAAAACAGGACTGGCAAAGTGGCTCAAATGGTAGAGCCCCTGCTTTGCAAGTGTGAGGTCCTGAGTTCAAACCCCAGTACCCCCACCCAAAAAAAAAAAAAAGAAGAAAAAGAAATATTAGCGCTAAAAAAATATTAGCTCTGTTCTTAATGGTGGTAAAAATTACAGAAATGCTTGATGAAGCATATTAGAAATGAGCTGTGTATCAGTCAGTGAAAGAGATCAAAAACAGCCCTTACCTCATTGCTTTGAGGTAAAATGTTAATATCCACTTCAGGGAAATAGAAGGAAAAAAAGCAGATGACTTTAACTTGATATGAAGATTTAAAAAAAAAAAAAAAGACATTAGTCAAAACTCATGGTTTTCATGAGATCAGAAATGAGTTCCAGATAACTAAGCAATAGAAATCTTACTGCCAATGAAATTGTTACTCAACTTAATATTTTGAGTTTATGACTATTTTAGCCAATTAAGTTATGTTTGCCACCTGTGAATTCAGTAAGTCTCAAATGCAGTTAGCTATCATTGATACACTTGGTAGAGCTGCTGCTTTCACTTTATCAACAGATATTTATCACGCTCACACAGTACAATCTGGGGTCTCTGAGCTTTCTGCCTATATCAAAACAGATTAATAAGCAAACAAGCAATATCAGAAAATCATAAAAGATCTCAGGGGCTCGTTTGCAACATGAGAGTGATGGATGGGATAGGGACTTGGGCGGATCCAAAATGTGGTTATATCGTTTTTGTAAGCATCACTATTTTTTAAGCCTTGACTCAAAATGTGGTCCATTTCCAGAAGGGCCTTATTGGTACATATGAGTCAAAACCCACATATTAAGCACCTGCCCAGTTTGTAGAGCACTGCATTAGATGAGTTACCCAGTGTTAATCCTGTGTTGCTGGAAGAGAAGAAAGATCTATAACTAAGACATCAAACCTCTCAATCCTTTACCTGCCCAAGCTTAGTGGTGTTTCTTTAGATGTCCAGCTTCAGGCGGTGTGTTCAATTTAATGACCACAGGCAAGCACCAAGGATGCTCAGTACCAAGGAGAGCACCAAGGGCTCAGTACACAGCACACATTCACCAGTAAGTCTATGCAAGAAGAAATCAAAAAAGTTCATTTTAGATTTGTTAGAAAAATCTTACACTGTGCTGATAGAACCAATGACAGCCTACCAACCTCTCGTTTTTGCTTTGAGGAATCAAGGCAGTTCTCAAGTAAGTTGAAAATCCCAGCCGAGGATGTTACTTCATAGGTCTGGTAGAGTGGCTCAAGCAAGTAGAATGCCTATCCTGCAAGAGCAAGGTCCTGAGTTCAAACTCCGGTACACACACAAAAAGGTGCTTCTTCCTTGCTCTCAGGTATGGAGCGACACCAGTTATTTGATGATCTCAGAGTTATGAAAACTGAGATTCAAAGACAACCCAAGGTGGAACTCTAGATGCTAACTGATAAATCAAGGACACTAAATAGAAAGCTTCCTGAGGACAAGGAGTCACCCCCACCTGACCCAACCCCACCACCTCAATCCCTTGCACTTAGTCCTGAGGAGGACAAGCCAGTAAATAAATCATTATTGAACTCTTGATTATCTTGTGTCCTCCCCTGAGGTCTCCACTTTCATGCCATCACAAGGTCTAGCAATCCTCCCCCTCCCCCCAGCAAGAAATGAATGCTAGGTATACACAAATCAATTACGTGGTTAACAAACATGGTCATTGCAAATGTCCTCTGTCCTGTAGCAGGCCTGGCCAAGTGGGACCCAGCAGATCCTGCTTCCCCCAGCATGGCAGCAGCTGACTGGAGTGGCCACCCACACCTCAGTGCAGCACGCGACTGTGATTCCTGAGACCATGGCGGGCACCCAGCAGTTGGCCGACTGGCGGTAAGCAGAAAACGCACCTGGGATGGGAGGCTGTCCACCAGTGAGTGACGTGAGCTATGACTGCGGTGTTATGAGAGGTTATTTTTAAATCCTGTACCAGGATACAAAAAAAATCAGATCTATTAATTCACAATAAGTTGTCATTTTCCAGCCAAAACTCAATTACATTATTTAATCACCAATGTCATTCACCAGACCAGTCTCCAGATGATTTTTGGGTTTTCCCAGAATTAAATTCCACTCATGGGAGACAAAGGTTTGTCACCAGTGAAAGAATGCAGAAAAGTCCCCAAAGCCCTAAGCAATTCCAGAAAGTGTTTTCAAGATGTTTTGAAACAGAGGCCCCCTGAGTCTGTCTGACCTCCCCAGGGAAGGCTTGACAGGACCAGGTTTTCTTGGAAGGGTAACTCACGGCACGTTTGTTGCGTGCATCTCTTCAGTTACAAGTCATGTCTTTAGATCAGAGTCCGCCTTCCACTGACCCCAGAGGTGTCCACCTGACAACCTGCCAGCACCCTGTTCCCTGAAAATGTTCCCTGGAAACAGTACCAGAACTCTATCACCCAACTCCCTGGATTCCTCAAGGACACCTTGCTCTGTTTTCATGGCTCCTCAGCCTTTTTCTTTGGACCTCCCCCCGGTGGAGTGACCCTCTTCTCCAGTTCATAGCCATATGGCAACCCCCAAGTTGTCCTCAGCTTCCATGCCCTTGTGGGCTGTCTGTCCTTCAGTACATACATCAGGGCAGGTCACTGTCCTCCACCCTCTCACAGTCTCCATACCACCATGGGAGCCTCCCTATAGGTCCTTTTCTAAATGAATAAAGAGTTTTTGGGCCAGGAGTAAATGGTGCACACCTGTAATCCCAGCACTTGGGATCCTCCTGCTGAGGCAGGAGCATCTGGAGTTCCAGGCCAGCCTGGGCTACATAGCGAGACCCTGTCATAGATAGATCAATAGATAGATAGATAGACAGATAGATAGATAGATAGATAGATAGATAGGTAGTTAGACAGACAGACATGGCTGTCCCCACTGCCCGGTCACTTCCCACACCCACCCCCATTCACTGGACACACCTTCAAACCAGGCAGAACTGGCTTCCATTCTGGCCTTGCAAGACCTGGGGCAGGCTATTTAACCTATATGAGCCTCAGTTTCTTCCTCGGTAAAGTGGGGATAATGATACTTAACTCCTAGGACCATAGGATGGTTGAAGATAAAACACAGAGCACTTGGCCTGTCTTTAACATCAGCATCACAGTGCCCAAACACAGCACGAAATAAAAAAGCCTGTCATCTTCCTCCCATTCACAGCCAGATCGCCTTTCTTCCTCTAGCTCATCAGGAATGACAACCAAGTGGAAATCTGGAGGGCCAGTTATTGCTTCCCCCTCGCCCTCTTTTTTCCTGCAAGACCACACCCAGCGTGTTCCTTCTTCCCTTGTCTTTCAGCACTTAAAGCCCATTTCGTGTCAACGATGCTCACTTGCTTATGCATGTTTTCTTCTTCCACTTCCCTTCTTTCTCTTTTCCATCTTCCACCTAGTAACATGGACGGCATCTAAAGCCAACACACTTTCTTTCCATCCTTTCTCCACCTCACATGCGGACCAGAAAAACATCCATGGTCACAGCTCGTAAGCAAGAGAAGTATCAACTCTGGACTTGTTTCAAAGGAAAGAATGCCTCATGTCTGGAGGGACAGAGCAGCAACAGAACCCACATCAGTTTCCAAAGTCCATGCAAACTCTTGCAACGCTATGAAAATGTTCATCTGTCTCTTTTTTTCCTGTTCAGTCTTCCCCCAAGTTGCAAAGGTAGAATTTGATAATTTTTTAAAACTTCAGGCCAGGTACCTGTGACTCATGCCTGTAACCCTACTTGGGAGGCTGAGATCAGGAGGATCGAAGTTCAAGGCCAGCCCAGGCAAAAAGTTTGTGAGATTCCATCTCAACCAATAAAAGCTGGGTGAAATGGCACATGCCTGTCATCCCAGCTACAGGAAGTGTAAGTAGGAGGATCGTGGATGAGGCCAGGTTGGGCATAAATGCAAGACCCCAAAAGGGCTCGGAGAGTGGTTCAAGTAGGTAGAGTATCTGCCTATCTATTGTAAGGCCCTAAGTTCAAACCCAGAACAGAAAAAAAAAAAAAAAAAAAAAAAATATATATATATATATATATATCAAATGAATTGAATGTGCTTTTAGCTTTTAATTTTATTATGTGTTAAAATGAGTTTTTATGGGCAAAGCTCTGAATTAATCACCACATTTAACATTTCTGTAGAAAAACAAGGCTTTGAGCTTCATTCAATCTAGATTGTAAAAACTTTGAAATAGAACCCATTTTTAGGATATGGGCTGCCAGCATTTCTTCCAGTGTGTGCCTGACTATTATTAATTTTGATTTAATACCAAACTCTGTACTTGCCTAGTCAACCTTCAGTTAATCTAATCGTTCGTTCGGCAAGTGTGTAATTAACTAATCAGCTGCCACGTGCCTGAGCACTGCGGGCCACCGAGGAAATTCAGAAGCACATTGACACTTCCTAACACCAGAAACATAACGGCTCCCAAGCGCCAGAGCGTTTTTCACGTTAACTACAGCTTCCTCATTAGTAAAATGGCATTACTAAGATACCCTGCCCTCTCCCAGTGGAATAAAAGAAAGCATGGAAGACACTTTGCACATTCTAAAATAAAATACACATTATTGTTCAGCATGACCACCTGTTGAGGCTGTGACAGTGGAGGAAATATTTACCCCTCTCCCCAGAACTTCAGTCTCGCAGAATGCCAAGAGTGCACACTTGGCACTCTTCCTGCCGGAAAGTCCTGGTTGTCACTCACCAACCTGGATTCCTCCTGGCTCTTCAGAACAGGTCTTCAACCTGACTGCACCTGGAGGAGCCCCTGGTGAGCTCAACTGGCAAGGCTCTCCTCTTTAGCCACCTGGTGGCCTAGTGAGATACCAACAGCCATGGACCTTTAATTCAGGAGGAACTTCCATCTTATGAAGGGCCTCTGTCTGCTTCTGTCAAACTATTAAGGAACCTTGTCTTCCCATCTCCCTTTCAGGAACACCCACGCTCATGGCAGCCATTACAATCCCATCATGCAGCAGCCTGCACTCTTGACTGGTCATGTGACCCTTCCAGCAGCCCAGCCCTTAAATGTGGGTGTGGCCCACGTGATGCGGCAGCAGCCAACCAGCACCACCTCCTCCAGGAAGAATAAGCAGCACCAGTCGTCTGTAAGGTAGGTGGTGAGAGTGACCCCAGGACATCAGCATGGCAAGGAAAGGCCATTTGGGATTAGGGCATGTCAGCATGCTGGCTTGGGATGGGGAGCTACACCTCCTCCTGCAGGAGCTAGCAGAACATCCTGTACCACGTGGATTACCCAGAGTTTGCAGGAAGCACTCACTCTGGGCTGTGTGTTAAGTGTAGCCCTGATGGTTGCCTCATGCTGGTTCCAGGCCTGCTGGCACCCAAGGAGTGGGCACCTAAAGTCACAGTGTCCTCAATGCCTTGAACACTTCAGTCCGTCTTGTTAAAGGAAAACAAAAATTCACTGTTACCTACTAACACACTGTAATAAGATTGTATTCAAGACCACGGGGGTAGGTTCAGGAATGCTGCAATGGGGTCTTGCAGAGAACTGGGCTCAGCTCTGAATACACATGGGCAAGTGGGACCAGTGTCAGTGTCAGTGGATGAGAAATTACCAATAGGAGACATCAGGGGTTGGGGACCCTGGCTAAACTGTCCTGCCAATGGGATTCTTGCTGTAAGCAGGCCAGCGTGATCAGACATTATCTGGATGGTAGTGTGGAAGAATCTGATCAGATACTGAGGGTGATCAGATACCAAAGGTGGGGCCAAACTGAATTAGCGGGCTCTTGACTAAAAGTATATTTTACAAGGGAAGTGCACAGATGGGCCTCAGAGAAGGTTCAGAGCCTGGCTAAGGTTGTTCATGAAAAGAATCTTTGTCATTTTCTCCTCCTCTAGAACACAGCCTGCCGCTGAAATTTCATTGCCTGTGCAGTTCAAGATCAATATAATTATAGTACATGTGATCTATTTAGAAGCCATTCCTAAAATAACTTTCAAAAGTACTAGAGAAATGTGCTTTCTCTGAAATTTGTGGTGAGAAATGTAACTCATTTGGCTGCTCGCTTAAATACAGTTTCGGCTGCTCTAGGCGCTAAGCCGCACACTCACCTTTTCTATTCACTTAACTCGAATCTCAGCCCAGTGAACTCTGAAGCAATCAGGACCTGCAAAGGGCCACATGCTGTATGATCCCGGTCAAGGTCACCATGGAAAAGGCAGACATAGAGATCAGATCAGCAGGTGCCAGAGACCTACCCATGGGAGGGGAGGGGATGGCCTGGGAAGGAACAAAAAAGGGACTTCTCAGCTGGTGAAAAATTCCATGTCTGGATTGTGGTTGGGGTTTGTGACTGTATATTTGTTATAACCCATCAAACAGTTCAGAAAGGGAATTTTATTATATGTCAACTACACTTCAATAAACCTGACTTTAAAAAAAAGGAAATTTCCAGGCCTCACCCCCTGAAAAAGAAACCTATAGCTAGCCAGATAAATCAGACTCAGGCAACTGCAGAGTTGTCCCTACATTCCCTAACGGCATTGATCTGAAGGTGCTTAGGTGCTTGTTTGGGGTAGGGTGATCAAGAGAAGCCCAGTGTATCAAGTGTCTAGTGAATTTTGGTTTTCTGCTTCCTCATATAACCAGGCACTAGGAACTAGGCCTGTCTTTTTTTATTCTTACTCAAAAATTAACCCAAGGACTGACTTCCTCAAGTTGACATCCTTCTTTGAGATTCCTTATTTGGGTATTTCTGACAACTAAGGGGAATTCATGTCAGGTCAGTGCAGCCCTTCAGAATGCTTTTGTTTAGCATCCCTGTGACAACACACCCTATCATTAGATTGGAGAACAACAAAAGCCATTGTCCTGATCTCCAATTCCCTTTCATTCCCAGCCAGGACAGTGGTCATGCCAAATGCTGGGCTGACCAGGACTAAGCTTGGCATGCTGAAGGCTCATCTTGGCCATGTAGGGGTGGTCAGGACCTTTGGCCTCCCCACCTGCCTAGCACATCCCTCCCTGTCCTCTCACCACACAGCTGACCTCATGAAGGCTCACCGCCCATACAGCTTAAGACCAATATACTTATGGCATGAGTTATGTGTTTGCCTGTTTTTTAAGACCAGTACCTTAGCAAAGCAGCCTGAGAGAGCAGACAGAGGCTCTCTCTTGGGGAGAGGTGTGGACAGGCATACTTTCCTTCCACAAACCAAGTAGAGATACTGAATGGCTGGAGCAGTGAGAATGTAATCTCAAAATCATAACATATCAGCAGTAACAAATCCATAGGTTTATGGCAAGTAGAAACAGTGGAACAATCTTATCAGTGAAGCTTATTAATAATCAAAAAGGATTAAATAATATAGCTGATACCAGTGAGTAGGAAATTAAATAAGCCACCTTTTACTGAATTATTTTCATTTTACTGCCATCCCTTTAGCTAGAAGGTGCTAGAAGCTCTAAGGACATACCCAGTCCTAAGCTTCATCATAAATTGACTTTGGTCTTTCACTGCATAGACACAGCCAAGGGTTTGATAGGGATGGAAGAAGGTGTTTTTTCCCTAAACTTGACAGAAACCATTGGCTAACTTAATAAGAAATTTCAGGTCACTCAAAACCAAATTAAAAGGTTCTGCATGTGTGTGTGTGCACATGTGTATATGTGTGTGTGTGTGCATGTGTGCGTGTGTATGTGTGCGTATGTGTGCACATGTGTGTGTGTGTGTGTTACTAGGGATTGGGCCAAGGGTCTTGCACATGCTAGGCAAGCGCTCTACCTCTTGAGCTACACTCCTAGCCCCAAAGGACCCTTTTTAAGCATGCCTCTTCCTTTTGCACTTTTTCCTGCTCAGGAGTCAAAATTTTTAAAAAGGCTTTTTTTTTTTTTTATTGTACATTCACATTGAAAATGGCCATATATTTTGCCCAAGGAGGAAGGCGGGAGAACATTAAGGCCAACAAAGTTAAGTCCTTTAGATCAAGAAACTTTTATTTCTTTTTTTTTTTTTTTTCCTTTGATGCAGTATTAGGGTTTGAACTCAGGGCCTCATGCTTACTAGGCAAGCACTCTACCACTTGAGCCACTCCACCAGTCCCTAGATCCAGCAACTCTTAAGAAATAAGTGTTTTAGGCTATCAGTGTGGCTCCATAAGGACCTGGATTTGATCCCCAACACCACAAAGCAAAACAAGAAAGAGAGGAGTGTTTTAATTTAATAAATACTAGAAGTCCATTATCAAGCAAATCAAAGCTTTATGTGGCAAACACCACTTCTCTCACCACTTCCAAAATAAGATGTACCATTGAGGGAGGACAAGATGGAGCCCAGAAAGTGGGGCCTTGGTCCTGAAGATGGCAGCCATGTTGGGGCAGTTCACGGCCAAGATTCTGGTCAGGATACCTGCCCCTAGAAGTCTAACCTTTGTCCCCGGAAGGCTAGGCTGCAGTCCTTACCTGCATGTTGACACCGAAAGGCCTTCAGAGATGACACTTTCTGTGTCACAGACGGAGTCTAATAGGTTTGGCTCTCAGACTTTTTCCCATGGAGATTTGGCAAAGCTGGTGTTTCTAGATTGCTGGACTCTTTGAAAGGAGTTGCTGGGCCTGACCTTTCTCTGTAAGTACGTGTGTTTTTGTCATTCCAGAAATGTCTCCACCTGTGAGGTGTCCTCCTCACAGGCCGTCAGCTCCCCTCAGCGATCCAAGCGTGTCAAAGAGAACACGCCCCCCCGCTGCGCCATGGTGCACAGCAGCCCGGCCTGCAGCACCTCGGTCACCTGTGGGTGGGGCGATGTGGCCTCCAGCACCACCAGGGAGCGGCAGCGGCAAACGATTGTCATCCCAGACACCCCTAGCCCCACGGTCAGCGTCATCACCATCAGCAGTGACACAGATGAGGAGGAGGACCAGAAGCATGCCCCCACCAGGTGAGGGGGTACCTATGCTCCATGGTGCCATGTATCTCCAGCTCACTCTTGGGCTGTCACCCACAAATCTGATCCACTTTCCATCATCAGCACAGTGATCCTTCCCTGCTGTCCCCTAAATTTTGGTTTTGCCACGTCCTTGGGTCCTCAGCTGATTTCAAGAGACTGTCAAACAGATTGGCCATAATTGTTCAAAACCAAAATGACTGAGTCACTTTGGTCTTAAAAAATAGTCACAAACCCTCTACATTTGGGGAATGTGAGACCATAAAAATCAGGCTCATAATACCAGTTTATTTCAACCCTTATAAGCTTAAAAATCTCTACCTCAGGCTATTGAATCCATTCCCTGTTGGTCAGCATCTCTCTCTAACAGTGACTTGACTCACTCAGACTTCGAAGTAATTGTCCAATTAATCAAAAATTTCCCTGTGTCTGATTAACCCAAACTTTCAAACTGCCAGTTGGCTCTTCACCCAGAGAGCATTACTGTTTACTCCAAAGTAGTAATAATTCATTTTGTTCTCTGTGTGCTTCCTGAGGAGAGGGAAGAAATATTTATTATATTTGAGAAACTATTAACCCTGGCACCAAGGCCTTTTTTTCTACGCTTCAAAGCCAGACACCAACAAAATAATGCTTCCTACATGGGCTGTGCAGCTCAGGTGGCCTAGCCTGATGCACCCTGGCCTTCTGTGTCCACAGGGGCTTCCGGCCTCACAGAACCCAAAGTCTCACAGCCCCACCTTATGCCTTTGGGTGGGGACCAAGGACCAGGGAAGGTTGTCAATTAAGCCCAGTGCTGTCAGTCAGCGTGTATCCCATGACTGGGTGCAAACTCAACATTCCCAATTAGGCCCTGATTATTAATTACTGATTGGATACAATGTAACTAATTAGTAATCACAAATCCTTTTGATTAGATAATAAATGCTCAGGTTTGAAATCATGACAGAATGTGCAGATAGACTGATTAAAGCATCCTCCTCGTTATGGCTGTTCCTGTGTGAGCTGTCTCTCTCCCTCTCCCCATGTTTATGACGAAAAGTTGAGTGGTTTGGGGTTTCTTCACCGTAATGCTGGTATATGTCTCATTCAGGTGTCCTCCTTCCTGTTGAATGGCTCTGCCTGATTGGCAGTGTATTTGAGAGAACACAGTGAGACATTTCTGGTCCTCTCATTTTCCAGGTATCAGAGGGGACATAGGGTAAGACCAGGCACACATTTGTAGACCAGTATTGCTTTACTGCACATGTGCCAATTCCAGGACTGGCCTCAGTTTCCCTTTTGATTACAGCCCCAAGTTAAGTTAGTGCCCCATCGTCCCCAGCACCTCACCCCCTACACCCAAGAGTCTTGTAGACTCCATCTTCACCTGGCTCAGTAGTCCCTTTACAAGGAGAAAGTTTTTTCCCAGCCCAAGACTGGACCCAGGCCACACATTTGTAGCACTGGCTTTAAGAAGGGCTGGACCACCTTGCACAAAACTGGAAATGAGCAAAAGTAGTTTAAAATTGACTGCTAAGTCAACTAGATTGGAATCTCCTTTTTGAAGTCTGAGATTTGAGTTGACACTGACTCTGAACATAAGTGCTTGGGAGTAAAGTGAACAGTGTGTTTGAGGAGGATGAGAGCCATCTCTCCACCAACCAGACAGCTGACAGGGCTGAGAGCAGAAAGCAAAGCTAAGCCAGGTGCCAGTGGCTCATGCCTGTTATCCTAGCTACTCAGGAGGCAGAGCTCAGGAGTATTGGGGTTTGAAGCCAACCTGGGCAAATAGTTCACAAGACCCTATCTTGAAAAAACCCATCACAAAAGTAGGGCTGGTGGAGTGGCTCAAGGTGAAGGCCCTGAGTTCAAATCCCAGTACCACAAAAAAAAAAAGGCAAAGCTAAATGAGGCACATATGTGCTTCCCCAGCAACCCCTAGACTCTGCCGAAAGAAGCACAAATGAAATGCAAGGCAACTCAGAAGGACCTTGATGTAAGTGACTCAGAGCCTTAGGAACGAGAGGGGAGGGCATCCATCCGAGGAGGAGCAGGTGACACGTGAGGAACAACCACAGACTGGCAATGGGCTACTGAACCCCATCTTCATACTGTGCAAGGTATGGGGGACCCACCTGTCTGCCTGCCCAGAGTGGTGGAGTCATGCCAGCAACATTCTAGCAAGTAAGCAAGCTGAGACCAGAGATAAATCTTGCAAGGCCTCGGCTGCGCACGGTGGTGACAGGGCGCTCACAGACGAAGATAGGATCGTAATGTTTTCTGGAGAGCTAAATGGCCATTGCCTTAGAAAGTGGCTTAGGACCCAAGAAGATAGCAAAGTATATTTGAGTCTGTGTGAAATAAGAAAAGGAAGCCAGAAGCCGTCTTATTTATAGAGAAGCACTGTGTAATTGGGATCACATTATTTTGACTGCATTTAGGAATGAGAAAAAATGTAGGGGGAGGATATGATGAAGGATCTGATTCTTAGAAATCAGAGCTATCATAAAATTTAGCACAGTAAATATTTACTGGCCCCACCAGCATAAGACAGTGTTCTGGAACCTGCAGGTATCACATAAATAGGGGAGATGGTCTGTCTCCAGGCACACAGAGTAATAAGCAAGATAAGACACATACAAATCATTCTAACACAAAGCAAAGCAGCCGTTCCAGAAAATCTAGCAAGGCAGTACAGGTACCCTGAGGGGATTAGCTGAAGGAGATGGCAGGGAAGAGGGGTGGGAAGCTTGTCCAGGAGAAAGTGGACCAGAGGAAACTGATTTCAGGTAGAAGGAGGGCTGTTGAGAGTTTTCCCTTAGACAGGAATGGTGGGCTTTGTCAGGAGGTGCTGGGGGGCTCTCAGGAAAACATCAATGCTGGAAAAACAAAGATACACTCCCAGTGGTCCTAGAGGACCACTTGGCCACAGGCTCCAGTTTGAGCAATGGAGACCTTCCCTCCCTTATGTTGTCTGTAAGCCTCATTCCCCCTTCCCCCCTGACCATCTTGCGTCTGAGCTTTGTGTTCCTGACCTCACTTCTGCTACTGACCCCAGTTCTAGAACTGCTGGTTCCCAATGCTAAACCTGTAACTTTGCCTTATCCTGACTCAGCCTCAGTACCATAGCTGGAGAATCAGTGGCTGGTGATGCTCCTGTGGATGGAAGCCTGGCCTCTACTACCAGTCTTTTAGCACCAGCATCAGACAAATGAGGTACACCCATCTTTTTAGACTAAGACTAATTAATCTACATTGCCTAGAAATTCTTAATGAATGCCAAGGTAAAATTATTACTCCTAACCTCAAATATGCAACACTTAGTTGTCAGGGCAGATAGCTGGCTACAAGTCCCACCTGTAAAGAGAATTCCAGAACATATAGGAGGCCAACTAGGAGAGGATGAACTGAAGAGAGAGGTTGGTAGCGAGCATTTACCAAGTGCTTTCACTGCACTATCCTGCTTGGCATTTGATTGCATACTCAGGCTCCTTTTCCCATTTGATAGATGAAGAAACTGAGGCCCAGGAGAGGTAAGTGACTCACCCAAGTTGATAAAGGTTAAAGTACCAGAACTGAGATTCAACTGTCAGGCCAGTGAAGAAATGGCAGACTTAATTACTGGCAAAAATAACTGGCTTCTCTTTAGTCTTTAGCTGAACAATTATTAATTCTGTCCTGCTTTTCCGGTGACCACCACCAGGCCATGGTAGCACCCAGAGTGTGCAGGGAGCCATGCTGTGAGGAGTTCAGAGCAGTGTGCACTGAGCCCGCCATTTCATGCCAGACATTTGCCAGTGTGCTGGAACACACTGAAAGGAAGGGCAGAAGTTGGCTCTTTGAATTCTTGGAGACAAGTTTAGTAAGAGGGCAGGCCACCAAAGGGTCATTGGACACCTTTATTTCAATGAGTCACTGTTGGACTAGGGTACTCTTTGGTCATGGCTAAAGAGTTGGCCTAAAGACAAAAAAAAACCCAAATAGTAACCATATATTTCTGCATATCACCCTACCCCCCAGAATAAATAGTAGAACTGATCTTATCTTAAATTTTTAGAGGTGATTTTGATGAGAGACACATTTAACTGTCTACCCATGCTGAACAAGCCATCTTTTCTCACCTGGAATCTCCTTGGACAAAGTTTACAGGTGCACATATGCCACCCTTGCCTTATTGCTAAAACTGTCTTGTACAGGCCATGACATATAACCTTGGGTGACGAGGATAATTTTTAAAGTGTGTAACCCAAGTGGTTCATTTCTACTGATCAGCTAGAAATCACTTTGCCCAGTCTCCATTATTCATTCATATATTCATTCAGTCAATTACTTGGCTGTGTCTGGCAGGTGGATTATTTTACTAAGGTCACAAGGGCACAGCTACTTTCTGCCCTTCACTTTGCATGTGTAAGCAGCGCTCAAAGACTGTTCTAGCCAATGTTGCTAAAAATTGTTTCGTAAATATCACTCAATTTTTTAGATATAAAAAGTTACTTGAGTCACTTTTTTTTTTTTCAGCAGTACGGGGTTTGAACTCAGTGCCTACACCTTGAGCAGTGGCCCTTTTATGTGTGTATGTGATGGTTTTTTTCAAGATAGGGTCTCGCAAACTATTTGCCCCAGGGCTGCCTTCGAACCTCTATTCTCCTGATCTCTACTTCCTGAGTAGCTAGGATTATAGCCACTAGTCACTGACGCCTAGCTACATAAGCATTTTAAAAGTGACTCAAGGAGGCAGAGATCAGGAGAATGGAAGTTCAAGGACAAACAGATCTCAAGGCCCTATCTTGAAAATACCCAACACAAAAAAGGACCAGCAGCCTCAAGTGGTAGAGCACCTGCCTAACAAGCATGAGGCCCTGAGTTCAAACTTTAGTACTGCCAAAAAGAAATGCTTATATAAAATACTTGACCCAAATAGTTTTCTTCTTTAAGTTAAATTGAAAACCTAGAGAAATTATTATATCTGATACATAGTCAGGAAACTGACGAACTGCTGTTCTAAAGCCTTT